TTAATTGGGTCCAATGAACAATATCAGCACTGAGTTATAGACTTTTCCCCCCACCATATAATTAGAATATAATTACCCACAGGATATCAGAATGATGCAAAACCTTTCCTCTAAATGTGCCCTCATTAGGAAACAAGTCTCAATGTACATTTATTCAATCAGTGTGAATTAATTAAAACGTTACTGAAATAAAAGAGGGTAGCAATAAAGTGTATCTGACATCTATTAAAAGACTATCACTTGAGATCTGCATGCACAGTTTATAACTAAACTCATTTAAGTCAAGCAAGAAACTTCACCATAAAATATACAATATGTACAATAAACTGGAACTGTGAATATGGCCCATTTTAATGTAGACAAAATATGTCTTATTAAAACATGTAAAAATTACCGATGAGCCATGTACAAAGTGCTGGATCTTTGTATGATATGGAAGCATGCAAAGTTTGTGTGTATCTATACAGTTGTTTTAAAGAATACACAGTGGCAATTCCCCCAAAGTGTGTGTTTCCCACATTTTTCAGCTGAAAGTTTTGCCTACTGAATGTATACACAGACTCTGGTAGGCCTCGTTTTTAACATTTTGAAAGATACTTCATGTCTGGATGGGAGATTTGAATTTAATATGTCCCCAAACCCTGCTTCTTTAACTGTCTGTTAGAGTCACCTGTTAGAGGTGACAGTCTTGCATTCTCTTTGGGAGTAAGTACTTTTTTTGTTTGTTTACATATTTAACAATCTTAACATTTTACTGTTACTCAGAATTGGAGGTTTTATGAACCTATAAAGTAAATGTTATACCAGAGTCAGGTCATGATTCTGAAAGGTATTCTCCACGAGTGGCTCATCAGCTTGATGGTAGCTCCTCCAAAATCAGTGAGGTTATATGTAGGTACAGAGGTCTGCCCATGTATTGCAACTTGCAGGGTTGAGGCCACAGACTGTAACCCCTTTTGCAATAATAAATGGAGGGCTATGATGTATTACAAAGGACATAATTCACATTAATGAACATACATACATCATACGGAAAGTTTGTAAAATGGCCTGGGTGAAATCTGTGATCCGATTTGCTGATTTCCTAATATGTAAAAAATAAAAAAGCAAACTGTATTATTTTGAATGCAAAAGAGTGTTATTTTATACTGATGTAATTCACAAACAGCAAATGGATTTATATCAAACTTTCACAAACACCTAATTTCTGTGCTGAGAACAAGCATAAGAAATTTAAGACCAAAGGACAGTAGATGAAAAGAGTCACAAGTGACCTAAAATAAGGAGTTTAACATGTCATGTCAATCTTGTATATAGTGGTGCTCACACAGCACAGGGCAAGATTTTATTTACTGTAATATCAATTATTAGAAGTTTTATCATCTTAGCTGCTGCCTGTTTCCATCTCTTCCAGCAGGCTGGTGATGTTCAATCCATGTAACATATCTGGATAGTTTGCCCCCTTTCGACTCTACCACCTCTTCCCCATTTTGTAGTTGTATATTTGATTTTTAGCTCCTAAGTGAAGTACTTTGCACTTGTCTTTACTGAATTTCATCTTGTACATTTCAGACTAATTCTCCAATTTTCAAGGTCATTTTGAAAGCTAATCTTGTCCTTTAAAGTGCTTTCTACCCCCTCCCGGATGCTGTTATCCACCAATTTTATAAACATACGCTCCACTCCATTATCCAAGTCACTAATGAAAATATTGAATAGTGCCATACCCAGGACTCACCCTGTGGAAATCCAATAGATACAATCTCCCAGTTTGACAGCAAACTGCTGATAACTATTCTTTGAATAGGACCTTTCAACCAGTTATGCACCTACCTTATACTGTAGTAATTTTATCAAGACCACATTTCCCTAGTTTGCTTATGACAGTGTCATGTGGGACAGTGTCAATGGCAATAACAAAACTGTACGATTGCTAAAAAGGCACATGGGTAAAGGGAATGACCTCTAAGAGAGAAGGAATATTCCAGGAGTGCCAGTTTGAGGTTCAAGAACCCAGGTGTTTAACTCTCTCTAGGGACCAATATACTGCTACCTTGAAATGAGGGTGATGCAAGGCTTCTCTCTTTCTCAGCCACTAGGGCTTCTGGAATTTGTAGGCCTTCCCAGACAGACATGGTAGCAAAGGGGACCGGATACAAACTGCCTCATTCCCTCAAAAAGGACATATTGTGGAAGAGTCTGACCTGCTGGCAGTCTTTCCAAGAGACAAAGAAACTGTCTGTCCGCTTTGAACTTTGACTACCAGATACCAATACCCAGGAGGGAGGGGCTATTTTCTTTATATGAACTTGATGCACGAGTTTTCAGTTTGTTTGGTCTTTACCACCAGACCTCTAGGGAGAATCTGGGTTCACTGGAGGAAGGCCAAGGAAAATGAAACCTCCAAGTCATGGATGATATTGGATGATCTCCATGGGCATGGCCTTCAACAAACAGCAACCTATTATGATGTTTATTTGCTTTTTCTTTTTATGACACACTAAACTTCTACTTACAAGCAATAATGCAAAAAACTGCTTTCTCTAGTGATTAGTGATACACTACTTTGGTATCAGATAAGAGATCCTCCCTATTCCTAGTACATAATGTACTGTCTCTGAAATGCAACATTTCTACTGATGAACAAATGAATATGTTTACTACTGCACACTTAGAGGATGATGCCCCTATGGTTCTTCCTGCACGCAGGTATTCACTGCTTTGCTGCAGTTATTGATAGAGCTGGTTTCATATTCACTGAAGTATTACATTCATCAAGAGCAATCTCCACAACAAAGGAAGTGGGAGAAACCAATTTTAAAAATTGCCAAGACAAACACCACATGCACTGTAATCAATCATATCCAGGAGGAATTCCTGTTATCCAGGTCAGCGATGTTCAATCTGTAATGTGAGTGTACATAGTGCTGTATTATTCCACATTTTTGGAAGGATCAGCTGGATGACCAAACACACTGCATTGTAGAGCAGCAAAGTTTCAGTGAAACACACTGCATCAAAGGCAACCACCTCCTTCTCATGACAATGTACATGGCCAGTACTGCAATGCACTGTCCAAATTAATTTACCAGTATGTAGTCTGAGTCAGATCTGTTTACTCTAGGTCAGAAATATTTCTCAGTACTTTTACTCCTTTTAAATTTGCAGATTCAAAAAAAGCTATGCAAGGATGAACTAGGTTTACATATCAACAGAACTGCTAACTAAATTTCAACTGCAGGACAAAAGTCTGCCTCCTTTGCACTTGCAAAAGAACATGGAAAAATTGAGTTGCACAAATGTAACCAAAGGTAAAATTTCACATGCAGAAGTTTTATTATTGGTGAGGATGCATAAGTAGTATGTATTATTTATTATTATCGGAAATCCAAGTTGGCTTTCAGATCTCAGGCTGAGTTTGCAATAGTGGTGTTTTAGAAAACAAAAAGAAAAATATCTTTCTACAAAAAAACGTGCATAATCTGCAGTCAGCAAAACACGATCATAAAATCATAGAATATCAGGGTTGGAAGGGACCTCAAGAGGTCATCTAGTCCAACCCCCTGCTCAAAGCAGGACCAATCCCCAACTAAATCATCCCAGCCAGGGTTTTGTCAAGCCTGACCTTAAAAACCTCAAAGGAAGGAGATAGCACCAACTCCCTGGGTAACCCATTCCAGTACTTCACCACCCTCTTAGTGAAAGAGTTTTGCCTAATATCAAACCTAAACCTCCCCCCACTGCAACTTGAGACCATTACTCCTTGTTCTGTCATCTGCTACCACTGAGAACAGTCTAGATCCATCCTCTTTGGAACCCCCTTTCAGGTAGTTGAAAGCAGCTATCAAATCCGCCCTCATTCTTCTCTTCTGCAGACTCAACAATCCCAGTTCCCTCAGCCTCTCCTCATAAATCATGGGTTCCAGTCCCCTAACCATTTTTGTTGCCCTCCGCTGGGCACAGAAATCTAAACATCATTACAGATAATCTAGGAAACTACCATTTTGCAATTTAAATTACTAACACCAGCTTGACATAGCTTTAACTCCAGTGTCTGCAATAGAGTGATTCTTGATTTACATAGGTGCAGGGTGAGACTCAGGCATTAACAAACAAATGGCAAAAAGAGAAAACAGATAATTTACCAATCATTACAGAATATTTAATAAGCAGAAACATTTTTAAGAAAAAGTTTAGAAAGCCACTTTTCCTAATTTTTCTGACTACTGTATATTTTCTCAAATTCAATCATTACTTTTTTGTTATGAAATGTATTTAAAATGAAATGTCCAAGTATACCACATCTGTTATTACCATTAACATGATGATGCTGTGACTTTCATAAACACAAAAACCCAATTTAATGTATTAATACAGACATTAATTTTGAAGGTCTCTTTCACATGACAAACTGCTCAGCCTTTTCCAGCCGTACCTATGTACAGTGTACATTTCTATTTCTATTTTCATTGAACTGAGTAATTGTTTTGTGGACAGCGAAATTTACTGTCCACTCCTGCAGAATAAAATACACCATAATGTTGATGCATAGCTTGCTGCAAGGCCAATGTCATCATTCTAGGTAACCTCCGGCTGAGATGAGAGACCTCAGCACGGCAGATATACAATGTGCATCTGAAGCAAAAACTGCCCATAAGAATAACTTCATTATTCTGGGAAGTTGGATCTATAAAAGATGTAAAATGTAGAAGTGTTCTGCCTATACAATTTCTGGTAAGTACAGCATGACTAAGTAATAAGACCTGAGTCAGCTTCAGTTATAGCAAATCCCACAGAAAGTTCATTGTCACATGAAGGAAAATGCAATATATTGGGCGGAAAGCATGTCTGTAAGTCATGAACTAGAATTATCTGTTCTGTTTTGGGCTTATATAGTGCTGTCAAATTAACAAAAAGCTAAAGCAGTCAAACATTCATTCAGGTTGTTCCAGTGTCTATGACACAAGGCTATATCAGAATAGAGCATATGAAGAACTCACCAATACTACTGGGCAGATTGCTGTGGGTGGTAAAATATGGTCCTTCAAAGGGCCACAGTCACATTCAGGCTTTAGATGTGAAGCACATTTATTATGGAGCTGTGGGGAAAAGAGAGAACATTAATAATCATCACCACAGTACCTCACTAGAATATTTCTATAAAGAATCTTTCCCCCATCTGGAATAGTGTAAATATGAATATACTAGATCAGTACAGGACTTAATATAGGAAAATATTTAAGAATTGTTGTCAAGTGACAGAATTATTTGACTCACATACAGTATTCTAGGAACTCACTTTGCTTCAGTTTTATTCTCTTTTTCTAGTTTTCAAAATTCTAAAAGTTAATTCTCTCTGTAGATTAACCAATCTCTTGGAAGAACTATAAAGGGGTGGCACGAGGACCAGGTTGCTGCCTCCCCTCCTGCGCACCATGTGGCCTTGGAGAAAAGTTCAGAGAAGCCAGATAGATACTCCAGCTAGCAGGAGCAAAAGCAGCTAAACCAGGGACCCTTTTTACCTTTGGACATTCCATTCAGAACTGTTGAATGTTCTCTTATTTTCCCTGCCCGGTGCTGACTGGATGTTTGCACCAGCCTGCCCTGTCTCACAGTCTCTTCACCTCAGCTTCACTCTACACCTTCCCTGTCCCCCTCATTCCCACTCCTTCCCTTTTCCTTCCATTTAGCTTGTCTTCAAAAATATTGTAGAACTAACATGCAATTTGCTGCCAACATACTATTTGCTCTCCTTGTGTGTTCCACCTCCGATTCCTCCATCTTGTGTCTGTCTGGTCTCATTAGATTATACTATTTTTGGGGCCAGGGACTGTCTACTACTCTGTGTCTGTACAGTGCCTAGCACAATGGGGTTCCATTTATGGTTGCCCTTTAGGCTCTATTGTAATAAGTATGATTATTAATTATTATTATTAATAATAATATACTACATTATAAAATACTACATCATTATATATTCTGTACAGACCGTATATTGTCCAGAAAACTATTTTTCAAGTGTTTAGAGAAGTACAAAAAATGTAATTGAGACTATTCTTCATACAACCTATATATCCATTTACATCTCACTTTGTTCTCTTTATCCAATTGTTCAATTTCTTTGCATTTCTCATTCAGATTTTATTAATATGCATTTATTCTTTATCGTTTTATTATAACTTCAGGGTTTTTTCCAGTGGTTTTACTTTTTTTCTTTCAACCATCAGAGCAATGATTTCATATGTTATCCATGGGTTTTTCTTAGTTATTAACATCTTCCCTTAATGTTGCTCTGCAGCTTCTTTGATAGCTTGTTTCAGACATTCCCAAATCATTCGGTCTTCGTTTTTATTAATGATCTGCAACACTTCATCTTGGTAGTAACTTTTGTGACAAAGTTCCTCCTCTATCTTGGTGGGTCTTGTGCTTATTGGAGGATTTGCTCACCTTGGAGCTTCACGGCAGCCCTCAGTTTGGCCGTTTTTGTGAACCCACAGTCCAGGTCAACTCCTTCTGTGTCTGACCAGGAGTTGGGAGGTTTGGGGGGAACCCGGGCCCGCCCTCTACTCCGGGTTCCAGCCCAGGGCCCTGTGGAATGCAGCTGTCTAGAGTGCCTCCTGGAACAGCTGTGCGACAGCTACAACTCCCTGGGCTACTTCCCCATGGCCTCCTCCCAACACCTGCTTTAACCTCACCATAGGACCTTCCTCCTGGTGTCTGATAATGCTTGTACTCCTCAGTCCTCCAACAGTATGCGTTCTTACTCTCAGCTCCTAGCGCCTCTTGCTCCCAGCTCCTTACATGTGCACCACAAACTGAAGTGAACTCCTTTTTAAACCCAGGTGCCCTGATTAGCCTGCCTTAATTGATTCTAGCAGCTTCTTGATTGGCTGCAGGTCTTCTAATCAGCCTGCCTGTCTTAATTGTCTCCATAAGGTTCCTGATTGTTCTGGAACCTTCCCTGTTACCTTACCCAGGGAAAAGGGACCTACTTAATCTGGGGCTAATATATCTGCCTTCTATTACTCTCCTGTAGCCATCTGGCCCGACCCTGTCACACTCTGTATTTCTTGATTCCTCAGAGCTTCAAGGTTCCATGCTAGATAACATTTGGCTTTCCGTATATCTCTGTTTATTATTCATTCTTACCACTACCAATCTATGATCTGATCTACAATCTGCATTTGGCATAATCTTAACCTTCCTAACACTATTTCTATACCTATGGTTGATCGTGATAAAATCAATCTGGTTTTTATACATCCCTCCTGGTGATTCCCATGTAGGCCTTGCATTTTCTTTTTATTCAAAATAACTATTGCAGATAATGAGGTCATGTTTCTCCCAAGAGTCTATGAATCTTTCTTTTCCATTGCTTCTTTCACTAAGGGCAAATAAACTAACTGTGACAGATATTCTTTTCCCTCCTACTTTTGTGTTCCATACAAGTCATATAAGGATGACTATTTTTCTTTCCACCATTGATTTCCATTACTTCAATGTTTAAATAGAATGTTTTGACATCCTCATCAGAATGTGCAGTTGTTGAGGCATATACTTGAATAATCATATCTTTTGGAAGTCTTTGTATCACTATTATCATTGCACATTCAGATGATATATTCACTTGTTCTATCCTTCCAGTTACAGTCCTGTCTACTATAATTGCCACTCCTTACCTACTTTGACATCCACCTGCACTGATAACTATGTATTCTTTAAAAAGAAAAGGAGTACTTGTGGCACCTTAGAGACTAACCAATTTATTTGAGCATAAGCTTTCGTGAGCTACAGCTCACTTCTTCGGATGCATACTGTGGAAAATACAGAAGATGTTTTTATACACACAAATCATGAAAAAATGGGTGTTTATCACTACAAAAGGTTTTCTCTCCCCCCACCCCACTCTCCTACTGAGAAAACCTTTTGTAGTGATAAACACCCATTTTTTCATGATTTGTGTGTATAAAAACATCTTCTGTATTTTCCACAGTATGCATCCGAAGAAGTGAGCTGTAGCTCACGAAAGCTTATGCTCAAATAAATTGGTTAGTCTCTAAGGTGCCACAAGTACTCCTTTTCTTTTTGCAAATACAGACTAACACGGCTGTTACTCTGAAACCTATGTATTCTTTGCCGTTCAGAAGACCTGCAACAAAATCTAGACCTCTCCAGAACGCTTCACTTAGTCCCATTATGGTAATATCTAGCCTTTCCATTACTTTGCATATATTGGCTAGGTTCCTGTGTTGATTCAATCCCCTGACAGTCCATGCAGTGATCCCTGCAGTTGCCATTTGCACACATCTGGCCAGGCAGTGCACGAGTTCACACTGAGGGCCAGTCATTTGTGTGGCAGTTGAGAAATGGTAAGTCATGTTATCTGATATAACTTTGGGGTTAATACTGCACAAGGGCCCCAATAATTAAGTGCAGTCAGTTTGGGTGGGGGTGGATGGGTGAGGTTTGGGATTCTAGTTTTTAGCCAAAAGGCATAGCCCACAAGGCAGCAGGGATTTTGGCAACAGTCTTATTGAATGATGGCTTGCATTTGCCATGTCACAGTGCCATCTTTGGATATTTGGAGCATTTGCCCCACCACTCCCTGTTAGTACCGTCATCAAATTGTTCAAGACTGCTTATTCTACATGTTTCCCTGCTTATATCATAGCTAGCCTCTTTATCTAAAGGCCGTAACATCATCCTCAGCCTGTGAATGTGCTTGATGGCAAAAGACACTGCCCCTGGGAAGTTTACCCAGACAAAACAATTGGATTAAGAGAACAAAGAGAGATGTATCAGAAGATGAGAGTCTTCAATTACAAAAGGTGACCAATGTGATCCTTAAGGACAAATATGGACAATACCGTATTTGACGGACTCCAAAGATAAAAACAAGAAATGGGAAGAATATATCAAGGAACTACATGGTGATAAACCTCAACTAGAGATTAATCCAGTAAGCCCACCAATAATGGATGAAGAAATCACAGCAGCAAGTTGTGTTTGAATACAGACTGAATTGTAAAAAAACATAGGGGATGAAGGCTTGAAAGTGCAGTCAGAGGTAACAAAGAATGTGTCTGAGACAGAAGAATTGTCAGAAAACTTTACAACCTCATTGTGTATCCAAATCCAAAAACGTTATGTATTGTAAAGGCTACAGAACAATCATCCAAGTATTGCATCCCTTTAAGGCTACATCTTAACTGGCATACTTTCCTGGGTACTTGTCCATGTACCATTAGTACACATACCTCGTACTGATGCCAAGTGTCCACATTTGCTGTGCTGATCATGGGTATACACTGTTCACAACACATGACTGTGTCCATACTGCCCCTTTTTCGTATGCAATGGTAGCACTACCATTTCAGGGATGGTATCCCAGTCCTTTGTGTCACAGGAGACACTCTGGGAACCATCTTGCTGGTGTTGCTGCTACTATATTCAGCCTTCACACATTTGATGATAGCAGCTCCCAGTCATCTTTCCCTTCTGTCAAACTGCATTGAAGACACGGAGCAAGTCCATGATGATGTGGTGCTGCTCCTGCTACACCTTATGGGACAAATGTTCATGCGGTCAAGCACTGGATACTGTACAGAATGAGTCCAGAAAAATTTGAGATGCTGAAGATGGAGGGACCACTTCTTTTCATCCCAAAGAACCAGCATGGTGTGGTGGGACTACATAGAACTGGAAGCCTGGAATGACGACGAGTGGTGCAGAACTTCTGAATGAGGAAGCAGACCTTCATGGAGTTGCGCGTGAAACTTGCACCAATCCTCCAGCACCAGACCACTTGTTTTCAGAAACTCGTACCAGTACAGGAGTGGGTGGCTATTGCCCTTAGAAAGCTGGAAACACCTGAAAGCTATCCATCAATTGCGAATCAGATCAGGGTTGGAAAGCCAACTGTCGGGGTGGAGTTTGTACAGGTTTGCCATGCTATCAATATTGTAATCTACCCACAAGTGGTTGCCATAATAGAAGTCTGTGAAATTACAGTGGGATTTCGAAGGATGGGGTTTCTGAACCGTGCAGGAGCCTTTGATGAAACACCCATCCCAATACTTTGCCCACTGAAAGAATTACT